TATGCTTTTAGAAAAGAAACCACCGTAAACTAACTAATTTATTCGTTTAAGGGGAAATCAATCTAGCTAGGAAACAATACATATTGAAACGTCTATAAAAAACATAATGGAGTGGGCGAACCCAACACCTCAAACTTTATGGGGTGCAACAATTTCCATTTGTTCTGGAGAGTAGCATTGGTCAATGGCAAAAACAGTTTTGTTATATTTTACCTGGGTCAATTGACGTAGGTCCGCCATGTGCTTATAGCAAATTAACATCGCTTGCATGTATGATATTTTCATAGGGTTATAGCAAACATATCATGAATGATGATGAATCATGTCATGATAACTAACAGCTGAGAATAATGAATAGAGAAAAATAATCTTTGTTTAACAAATTTCCAATGTCAATTAAGGTATGAATTTGGTAATACTTCTTGAGGAATTAATTTGATCTTGATAATGTGCAAGGCTTTTTGCTTAAATGTCGATCAGTGGATGGATTTGGTTGCACTTAAATTGCCGATCATCACAGTGCATATCCCTAAACGTTAAGTCATATAGTTATCGTTGAAAAAGACCTTTCATCACGATTAAACAAAAATTAATCTTAGCAGTACAAACCCTAGAACAACGAAGGGAAAACCATTTTCAAGTATTATACACTTCAAGTATTATAAAAAAGTTCAGTTGCATATATTAATCAAAATGTTTTACAAAGATTTTGGTGAAGCGGTAAGAAGATAGTAACTAAAGTTGTAATATTCTGCGCATACGCGGGTTAAGATACTAGTAATAAAAGATAATGTTATGCTCATCCATGGTTTAGCCAACACGTGGCCAAGTCACAACCACGCTTCTTCCTCGATCTTCACGCAGCGCCGCGAATCCTCACCGGACCATCACCGAATCTCAGTCAGTCTCCAATTAGACGTCGCTAATCATCTACAACACAACGAGAAACCAACCCCCTCCTGCCGATCCCAAATCCCACCGATGAAATCACCGAAATCATCCGAATATATCCAGCAATCCTCTTCAAAACTTCTCCGAAAATCACCAAATCCGGGGAAACTCCATCACCGCTACACCCAAAACTGATGTAGACTGTGTTCCGGCTTTGCTTATGCGTCTTAAGCAAAGGGAGTATGATGAAGATATTACTCCTCGAGATGTTGGAGAAACCGAAAAAATTAAGAAGAACAATCGGAGATCTCAACGACATAACGAAGATAGGAAAGAGATCGAAGTTTGTAGAACAAAATCAAAACTCCGAACTCGCCGGAGACAAACCGGACAAGCCGGAAACTGATCCGAT